TATTTACCTGTCATTTAACACAATGTACTTTTTAACAAACACAACTCAAAGTAATCAGACAACAATTAAAATCACTACATATGATTTAAAGAAATATGGTGGATTATTAAAAATCACAAATTTCGATATTTACATAACGAATAATATTATAACTTTTCTTCTCAAAATAAAGAAATTAATAAGTTTGGATAAACTCATAAGTAATTTAACAGTATTTTGCATTCTTAATTAAATATAAATATTTATTAACTATGGTCTCTAGTGCAACCATTATTTTTAGTTAATGAAAATGATAAACTTTATAGACTATATTTTGTCAATAGACCAACTGGATCATGCTTTTATACCAACTCAACATGCAATATTTCTCTTGAGTTATCAACTAACAATTTCATAAATTCAAATACATGTACAATTTTCAATACCCAGCACAGCATTATATTTAATAACACCTATCCAAATAAAGATTTGAGTAAGTTCGCAAATGATTTGAGAATTATAAAATTTGCTAAATTTTTAATTTCGCAACCAAGTGGAAATAATGTTCTAGGCTGCGTTAATGCTAATGTTGCTACTGTTGAGCAAAATTCTTTAGACAGTTTCTTAAATTTATATAATATTCCATTCTCTATTATTGTTGCTTTTACAGTAATTAGCTTTGTGTTAAAACAAACTGGTACTATACAAGGTATTAGTAAAATTTTTATTAATCATGATAAAGCAGAAAATGGTAACAGCACAAACACTAGTACATCTCATAATATTAAGGTATATATAAAATTTATATTTATACGTATTTCAAAAATTAATGAGAAAAGACATTATCATTAGTACGATACAAAGAATATAATTATAATTTTCTTTCTCGTGATTAATTGAACTCCGTCTGCTAACAGCATCCAGAACGTAGACATTTTAATCCAACAAGTAATTCAAGTTCAACTCATCCTAGTCTACTTTACCATAATCTAGGTTGTCTGTGCCCAATTCATCATCATGATCATAATGGAGCTACTGTCTCTAACACTACTGATAGAACAACAACAATGTCTCGATCAATTCTAACTATAACACAAGCACCTTCGATCTTTAATTTGTTTTGTGCTGCACAGTTTTTTGTGACTACTGCCTTGGTTTCTCTGTCTAACATTTCATCTAGTTACCGGGATTTGGCTTCAAAACTTAGTTGGTTAAGTGGTTTACCAAGCAACTTTAATCTTATATCAAGTGTCTGTAATAAAAATATATGAATGGCTATATGTCATATGATG